GTGAATTGGAGCCCAAATGTTTTTTCTATGGGCCTATTTCTGCCACTTTACTCATGGTGAGCAGTACTTTACTCCACAAGCAGTCCCATTGAAGAAAATGGGCCAGAACCTTGAATGTGGCCAGACTGTGCTCTAAGCTACCTTTCCACTCCCCCATTGGGGCCGCTTTATTTCCCAGTGTCAATTAGAGCAGCCTAAGGGCTGCTCTCGGCTACACTAGCAGTTCCCTAAGGATGTGCTAGTTTCACAGAATAGCACAAACTATTCTGGCCACACTCTGTCCAGTGCTTAGTACTAACACACCTCATGCATCAAAGGTGGGAAATGTTCTGGCTCAATGAAATTACTCGTGGCATGAAGTAATGCTCAGTGTGATTAAAGGGCGGCAGAATCTAGCCTTGTGTGATTTTTTTCCTCCTTCACATTATCAGTTACAACAAATTTTCAATAAAAATAATTTATTCTGCATATTAAAACCATGGGCCTGATTCCAGGAGTAGTTTTATTCCTATGATCCAAATCATCTAGACATGCACGTTAAACAAAATACATACAGAATTGAACAAAGATAATGGGCCAGATCCAGAGCTGGTCTAAATCAGCATTGCTCTGTTGACTTCAATGAAGCTAACCTAATTTACACCAGCTGCAGGACAAGGGAGGGCAGAGAAAGTACCACTGGCTGCTCCATGAGCTGCTTTCCTGCCAGGCTCTGGGAGCCCCAAGGAGAGCACAACAGAAGCTCACCTAGCTCTGACCGAGCTCAGGGAGTGCCTAGTCAAGGAGGGCTTCCCTTCCTCACATCACTGCCCAGGGCAAGGCACACAGGGGAAATGAGAACCAACAACTAGCTGAGGCTCCCTGATTCTCTGATCTAGCCCTGGCTCAGGGTAGTTCAATCTGGGGGTGGCTCTAACTTTAAGAAACCATACCACCAGCTGAGGATAGCCAGAGCACACTGCACTCCGGCCCCATCCCACTCTGCTCCCCGGACAAGGAGGACGATGTAGGAGCTGGCTATGCCAACTCTGCATCGGCTGTGAATGCCTCCATGTGGGGGAAATCCCCAGCTGGGAATTAGGAGTGGTTTCTGCTCATTTTGCACTGCCAAAGTGGCACAAAGGAAGGGGCATGGGACAAGGATCTGCCTCCAAGTATTGATTGCAGCCTCTTGCCTTTTTGGAACTAGTACATTTGGCCCCCCACTGAGAAGGCTGCACAGCTCTGCAGTAGGGAGGTCAGTATAAGCAGAGAGCTAAACGTACAATCTAGCACTCGAGAGCATCCTGTAGTTTTTGCAACACTCCCCGGAGGTCCAGAAGTCAATGACTGGAGTCCATCATTTCACAGATGTAGTCTTTTTCTCTGTTACAGATCTACTAGAGAACTGGCAGTATTCTCCGACTTTGTTAACCACCTCAGGACACCGCTGGTGAGAGAATTCAATGGAAAGCAAATTACTTCTCAGAGAAACATGGACGTGTAGGGCCAGAAGGGACTGGGGCCTTGAACCTGGGCCCATGGATCCCTGGGCAGAGCTCAGCCCAGGGCTGCCACCAGGCAGTGCACCTGAATAACTGGAGACGTTAGCCAACAAAGCGCTAGCTCACAAAGGGACCTGCCCACAAAGCTCCCGACAGGGGGAAACTTCCAGCATCGCTAATTGGCTGGGGAGCTCTCTTTAAACCAGAACGAGGCAAAGGAAGTTGTCTGAGAAATTAGAGGAATCCCTGACTGGTTGCTGCCACGGACTCTGCCTCCTTACCTGACTCCAGAGCCCTGCCTTCCTGCTTGTTCCTATCCTCCTTATCCTATCCCCATCTGTTCGTGGTCCCTGCTTTCCTGCCTCACTCCAAGTCCCAGTTCCTACGTCCCACCCTTGAGACTGACTCCATCTCTGACCTTTGGTGTGGCACCTGACTAACCCATTAGACATGGCTGCCCATGCCCGAGTCACTACAGGTCATGTAATCCAGCCCGCTGTGCCGAGTCAGGACCAAGTAAACCCAGACCATCCCTGACATGTGTTTGCCTACCCTGTTCTTAAAAAACTCCAGTGATGCTGTGTAGGTGAGAAGGTGCTTTTTATGGCAAGAACTGAACAGCAGAGCGGGTGCTGGCTTTAGGCTGAGGTACATCACCTTTTGAGCAGCCAGTGTAACATGACTTCCTCTTCAATCATCCCACACTAAGTACAGCAAGCCTGTAGTACAAAATGTGACAATATACTGGGCCAAACCCTTTCCTGGGTGAGTCTACTCACTGCAATGGGCTCGCACCAGGGATGAATTTGGTCCATCACATTTTTCAGTGCTACGTATTTAGGGTTCTACCAGTTTGAACTGGGCAATTTAATATGCATATATTGCATTGTCTACTTAACATAATTCTGGTCACTGCTACTATCTGATCTGTGCATGTTCATTAAAAAAAAAAGACCAGGGTTTCAGCTCTATATTGAATTGTCAGAATACTGAAGACACACACTATAAAATCATGGCAATACCTCCGCGGTTAAGAATGTGCGCGTGTTAATACAAACATGTATATACACACACAGTAAATATGGCTTCAACACTAAACCACGTTTAGCCGAAGCGAAGAACCCATTGACAGACAAACAAGACATGCCTATGCACGCACACAGCCTGAAAAAACAGACTAGTATCTGGTAGAAGTTCTGTTGCCCTCACGAGAATGCAAAATTACGCTGGGATTTTGGATTTACGTGCACTTTTCTAAAAAGGATAAAATCGAGCCCTCAGAGACCACAGTTAAATAGAAAATGAAATGAAAAACTAACCAATGATTTACATTCTATTGTAGTGGTTTTAGCAACCCTTAAGTTTTCAATCTGGAATCTGAACTAGAAAGAGAATCAACTAGCAACTATGCAAAGACAGGTCCACAGCTACACAAATAGCACCAATGAAGATATTTAAGTTTAGAAGCTTAATAGTTGGAGACTAAACAAACAATAGATTTCCCTGCAAAATTCGTATAAAATAACTCAGTCTGCAGTTAGGTACTGAGCCCCTCTGGTACTGGATGAGGCTACAGAAATGGAAATACAATTTGACATAGCCACATTGCCAATTAAAGGTGAAACAGAAGCAATATGTCAATTGGTAGCAAAGAGAAGCATTCTGAGTTCCTATATGAAACTAGCTCCTTTGGACCCACTTACAAAATTCTGGAGTATTGAGGTAAATAGAACAGCAGCAGAGCTTACAGGAAAAAGCAAACAAAAGAAGAAAGAGGAGGAGAATTGGGACTTGACTACTGCTGTTATCAGATTATACATGCTGCATGTAACTGAACAAGTATTAAAAAGGGGGACAACAGACATGGCTCATTAATAGAGGAAGGCAATTCTGTTCTCCTGTAAATCTGGGGCAATGCCATGGAAGCCAATAATTGATGCTAAAGTAAACCTGGAGTAACAGAGCAGAATTTGGCCTTCCCAGTACAGGTTCAAAGGCTCCTCCACTGGAGAGAGAAAAACAAAACAAAACAAAGGAAGTTCGTAACGGAGATTTGAAAAAAAACTGCAAGGATTTCAAAGCAAGAGGCATAATTTCTGCAAACCATGCAGATCCACTGTGAACTGCATCCATTGACCTTGCTAAATATTTCAGCACAATAGTTCACCTCTTAAAAAGCACACAACAAATGCCTGTGGGTGTAAGGGGACCCTTCATTATATCCCCTACAGCCAGAGGCTGATGTGAACATTGTCAGGTTTACAGACACAAAGATTCCCAGACAGTGTAGCTGCCAGTGATCCAGCAAAAAGGTCTAATTGGTCAGCAGAAGCTCCAGGGGGAGAAGGAGGACAAGTTTAATAGGCAGCAAGCACCTGGTCTGTTGGTATAAAAGGCAGCTGGGAAGCAGCTGCATCTGAAAGCCTGGAAATGGACAGGTGGTCTCCCAATAATGACCCTACTTTGGGATCAGGTTGCAGGATGTCTTACTGTTTTACATTCTGGGGCTGAGAAAAAAAACTTTCCTCTCTTGCAATTGGCCCTGATTAAACTGTGCCTGCCCAGCTTCCAGCTAAACCATTTCCCCCCCAATTCTATAGGCTGCTGCTCTGGCGGTGCCATTCCACAGGGGACCAAGTTTTCAAAAAGGCGTCTACAATGTAAGAAAAACAGAACACAGTTTGGGATGAATGTAATGCTCGTGAAAGGCGCCAGATTGACAGTTCTAAGGGACGGAGTTCTCTATTTATCCACAGAAACACTTCAGCCCCGGATTGGTATTATAAGCTTGGTCACATGGCCCCATCATTGACCTTGACCTTGAGGGTGAAAGGGTGGTTCAGTCTAGCAGCAAGCTTGCCAATCAGTGCCAACAGAGATGGGATTAGTGATGTGGACACATGCCCACTGGGAGCTGGACTGAGACCAAATTCATTTCATACAGGCCATTGAACAGCCAACAGAAGATAATTTCCAATCTGTACTGATTTAGCCCAGATTTGCACCAGTAGCCAAGGGATGAAAGGCTTATCTCCTGGAGCAGCCAGTCCCCTATGCCCACTAAAATGGCAAGGGCAGCCATTTTGGATATGCAGATCTTTTGTGCATGCAAGCAGATAGGTTAGCAAATTCAGAGATGATAATTTTGCAGGGGTATCAAGGTGGGACCCAACGAGGACCTTCCGTTGATCTCTGAGCATTCAGTGGGGGACTCCCAGGGATTACAAGTCATCCATCTGGCTGAGTGCATTTTTGCACAGGAAAGCCAAGCCTTCTTAAACCCTTTGCCACATTAGGCATCCTTGCCAATAACCAAATGAGAGTGGCTACTTCACCTGGATATTAACAAAGACAGTTCCTGGAAATGGTTTCAGGATGTCTGCTTCTCAAAAGCAACTTGTGACAGGACGGTGGCCCTCCAACTGCTGGTCCTGGATGGGGAATGGTAAAAACGAGTAAGGTGGACCCTTGTAGAGATGCTGGAACTTATTAGGGTAGAACGGTGTGGTAAAATATGGAACATGCCACAGAGGGCTCTCTTGGACACCAATGAATGGAGGCCTACAGGCAGGCAGTCCAACTGACAGAGAAACTTTCTGTATGACTTGGAATTATCAATGACTAAAAACACTTCCTTTCACCTCTATCTCACCAGAAAACTCCATCTCCCACACTCTGGATGAGGGTCAGGCTGGTGCAAGATGTAGTTGCATGCCTCCTCCATGGTTTAGGTTCATAAAATCATAGAATATGAGGGTTGGAAAGCATCTCAGGAGGTCATCTAGTCCAAACTCTGCTCAAAGCAGGACCAATCCCCAACTAAATCATCCCAGCCAGGGCTTTGTCAAGCCAGGCCTTAAAACACTCCAAAGAAGGAGATTCCACCACCTCCCTAGGTAACCCATTCCAGTGCTTCACCACCCTTCTAGTGAAATAGTTTTTCTAATATCCAACCTAGACCTCCCGCACTGCAACTTGAGACCATTGCTCCTCATTCTATCATCTGGTACCTCTGAGAGCAGTCTAGATCCATCCTCTTTGGAACCTCCTTTCAGGTAGCTGAAAGCAGCTATCAAATCCCCCCTCATTCTTCTCTTCTGCAGACTAAATAACCCAGTTCTCTCAGCCTCTCCTCGTAAGTTATGTGCTCCAGCCCCCTAATCATTTTTGTTGCTCTCCGCTGGGCTCTTTCCAATTTTTCCACATCCTTCTTGTAGTGTGGGGCCCAAAACTGGACACAGTACTCCAGATGACATACCACTGCTGAATAGAGGGGAATGATCACGTCCCTTGAACTGCTGGCAATGCCCCTACTTATACAGCCCCAAATGCCACTAGCCTTCTTGGCAATAAGGGCACACTGTTGACTCATATCCAGCTTCTCGTCCACTGTAACTTGTAGGTCCTTTTCTGCAGAACTGCTGCCTAGTTATTCGGTCCCTAGTCTGTAGCAGTGCATGGGATTCTTCCGTCCTAAGTGCAGGACTCTGCACTTGTCCTTGCTGAACCTCATCAGATTTCTTTTGGCCCAATCCTCTAATTTGTCTAGGCCCCTCTGTATCCTATCCCTACCCTCCAGCGTATCTATCACTCCTCCCAGTTTAGTGTCATCTGTAAACTTGCTGAGGGTGCAGTCCATGCCATCCTCCAGATCATTAATGAAGATATTGAACAAAACCAGCCCCAGGACCAACCCTTGGGGCACTCTGCTTGATACCAGCTGCCAACTAGACATGGAGCCATTGATCACTACGCGTTGAGCCCGAGGATCTAGCCAGCTTTCTATCCACCTTATAGTCCATTCATCCAGCCCATAGTTCTTTAACTTGCTGGCAAGAATACTGTGGGAGACTTTAGCAAAGCTTTTGATACGGTCAAGGAATAACATGTCCACTGCTTTCCCCTCATCCACAGAACCAGTTATCTCATCACAAAAGGCAATTAGGCTAGTCAGACATGACTTGCCCTTGGTGATTCCATGCTGACTGTTCCTGATCACTTTCCTCTCCTCTAAGTGCTTCAGAATTGATTCCGTGAGGACCTGCTCCAGGATTTTTCCAGGGACTGAGGTGAGGCTGACTGGCCTGTAGTTCCCCGGATCCTCCTTCTTCCCTTTTTAAAAGATGGGCACTACATTAGCCTTTTTCCAGTCATCCGGGACCTCCCCCGATCGCCATGAGTTTTCAAAGATAATGGCCAATGGCTCTGCAATCACATCCGCCAACTCCTTTAGCACCCTCGGATGCAGTGCATCCGGCCCCATGGACTTGTCCTCGTCCAGCTTTTCTAAATAGTTCTGAACCACTTCTTTCTCCACAGAGGGCTGGTAACCTTCTCCCCATGCTGTGCTGCCCAGTGCAGTAGTCTGGGAGCTGGCCTTGTTCGTGAAAACAGAGGCAAAAAAAGCATTGAGTACATTAGCTTTTTCCACATCCTCTGTCATTAGGTTGCCTTCCTCATTCAGTAAGGGTCCACACTTTCCTTGACTTTCTTCTTGTTGCTAACATACCTGAAGAAACCCTTCTTGTTACTCTTAACAGGTCTTGCTAGCTGCAACTCCAAGTGTGATTTGGCCTTCCTGATTTCACTCCTGCATGCCTGAGCAATATTTTTATAGTCCTTCCTGTTCATTTGTCTAATCTTCCACTTCTTGTAAGCTTCTTTTTTTATGTTTAAGATCAGCAAGGATTTCACTCAACAAATTTGTGCTCTAGTCCCTCCATTGGTTCCCAGTGCACTTGTGCAACAAGTCTTGGGCATTGGTCCTAATCTTCAAAGCAATTAACAGGTCTGGTTCCAGGTACATTACAGACTGCATCTCCGTCTATGAAGCACCAAGACAAAAACAATTAACTGGGCAGTGCAGATCACTAAGCCCAGAACCAAATGTGTGGGAGCTGGGGATAAAGCATTCTCAGTGGAGTTGACCTGGCTGTGGAACGAACTTCCAGACAAGGTC